TAGTAGGCTTCTGTTTCTAGGAGAAAAGACATTGATAAAACACCCCCTCAACTGACCCTAGAGATATTTCATTAGAATCACAAAATCACAGAATGGTTTGGGTTGGAAGGGGCCTTAAAGGTCATCTAGTTCCAACCCTGCTGCCATGGGTAGGAACCCTTTCTGCTAGACCAGGTTGCTCAAAGCCCCATCCAACTTGGCCTTGAACACTTTCAGGGATGGGGTATTAGAATTTGCAGTCTTATATGGAGTTTTGGGTAGCTGAAATTCAGTAAAAATGGTGATAATTTTTGTCAGAAACATTAACTTTTACTAGTTAGCTGTGATTTAGCTTCCCCCCTCCCGTCAAGCTGAAGCAACATCTTCCTCAGGTGTATGTACCCAAAATGAATTGCAGTACTTGGCTAAGAGGACGGGGAGATTGGACATATCCTTTTCTGAGTTGTCAGACTGCCTCATCCTAAAGAATGGCATTCAAGGAACTGATGCAGATCAGAAACATGTCCTTTTTATCTTTTTTTTTTTTCATTAGGTGTGTACACTATATATTTCAGCATAAAAATAAGCTCTTAGATTAATTTCAACTCAAAATTAACTGATTAAATACCTATTTCAATTTAAGGCTCAGAAGACGTGTCGCAGTTTACCTTGGCTGAATGCCCAGATATCTACTGAGCCTGCGCCCACTTCCCCCCTGCCCCTTCCCCCCACAAAAGGAGAGGGAAGAAGGGAAAGGGAGAAAAAAGAAAAAGGAAAAAAAAACAACTACAGAACCAAAACTGCCAAGAAAAATATATTTACACAAGGAGGAAAAAAAAAATTATCAACACTATATACACAGAAAAAAACTAACAACAAAAACTACTTCCCCAAACAAACATTCTCCTTCGGAGCTATCCAGAAGAGAAAAGGGAAGACTCGCTTCCTTCCGATCTCTTTTATATCTAAAGTGATGTAACATGGGATGGAATATCTTATTGGTAGAATATACATCAGATGATCTATTCTAGTTCTGTTTCCCTCTCAGGGAGAGTAACAAACCCATTACAACATGGACAATATTCCCAAAGTGAGTATCTAATAAAGTATTTGGAATTTTTAGAATAAGATTTCACTATCAACATATTTTCATTGTCTCTATTAAGCTTTCTATTATGTATCTACATTTCCTTCTTGTCAACTCTTTGAAGGCTGTGCAGACAGAATTAGCATTAATTGAGAGTTTAAAAACAATATCTATAATCAACAGAGAGTATAAGTAGACAATGTGTATTAATGAATGTGATTAACATATATCAGTTCATAATCTGTTTGATTATGTTGTAATTTTCCACACTGTGAAGACAAATAAATATAGTACTAATAATCAATTCTAGTTGGATGTGAATTTGGGGAAATGTCATTAGGATATTACTTTTATGCACTACGTGATTCCTTTTGCCACCACTGTAAGGCAACATTTATACGTAAATTACTAGTCTAAGTCCCTAAAAGGTAGATTAAAACATAGTTGCAAAAACCCCACTGTTTTGATACAACTGTTAAGCAAACATTAAATACTAAACACAACCATAAAATAGTATATGCAAAATGAATGTGAGTTTAACCTGTAGGGGCTTTGCAGATACAAAAATAATACTGTGCTTGAATGTGTCACTGGTTCCACAAAAATACAAATCTGCTACATCCATAATAATTATTAATTAATTGATAAATTATAATTACAACTATTAATAATTATTAATTTAGGGTCTTATTCAAATAAGTACTTAATGAGCTTATTCAGTGTTGATAAAGTGATAAAAATTTGTCTTTGTAAAATACTGTGTTCTGTACTCAGCATCTTCAGATGTATCTGACTAAAACTTATAAAAAATATAACTAAAATTGTCTCCCTGTATTTTTGTACTTTTGATCTATAAATATGGAATTGATGAAGGGATTGTTTCAGTTGAAATCTTATAACTCATTTATTTGAAATTACTGTAACAATTTTCTTATCAATTGTAGGGATAGGTACAATTTCAGAAGAATTTGTGATGGAAAGCTACAACTGGTTTTGCTTAGGAAGACTGTAAAATGCCTTCTCAAACGGGTTAGATGGTTTTTTTCTTCCTTCTGCATTTCAAAGACATTTTCAGGGAGAAGATGTGAGCAAACTATCTCTCACTCTGGTATGCAGAAAGATAACATGTTTGCAGACGTGTACAAGGCCTCCTTGGGCCAGAGAGAATGGGGGAGGAGAGAGAGAAGATACAAAAAGCTTTGGAGAAGGTGGGGCATTGCCTTTTTTTGCCTGGGGCCCCGTGTGTGCAGCATCCTTAAGAAGTGGGTCTTGCATCTGAAATAAACCTTTTTTTAATCCTTCCACTGCCTTGCCATTCTTGGGAACAATACCTGTGTATGTTTTACCTTACATCGATCTTCAATAAAAAAGAATGAGATTTTAAGTGAATGATTGCCTACATCTTTTGGTTGACCTGGGACTAAGTGCTACAGCACTGTTGCTAGATCTCTCAGTACAGACTTTGCCACTTTTGAATCTGGCTAAGGCTTGTATTCACATGTTCTGGTCAGGATATCTCTGTGGATGATCTCTCAGGCTATCACTGACATATGATAAGATACAAAAATGTCAAAAAGGGAAGAAAATATTGACCTAAATTTCTGTGGGTTAAAATACAAGTTTGTAGTATACATTTATTTAAAATACACTTTCAAATATTCAAAAACTAGGAAGCATTCTTCAATTAGTGATACATTCTTTTCAAAATTACATAGGTGATTATAGCCTCAGAGTAACCTTCCATGGCCTTTCATAGAAAGTAGGACCACAGCAGTATGCCCCTTACAGCATTTTGAGTCTATGAGGGAAAAACATCTATAGCAGTGCTACGTTTTTGCATCATGTTCAGGCCCTGTGAAAAGTACAACAGTGGACTGAATGTTGCCTTAGCTGTCAATATACACCTCCAATGAGATAATAAACATACAGCACATTTTTAATCAGTGTCTACATTTTTCTTCAGGGCTTTTTTTTTTTTCAAATTTTTTTTTTTTCAAAATGAATCATTTTAAAAGTAGAAAACATTTCTATTAGTTTGACACTAAAATTATTTTTAAAAACCTATATTAAACACACTGGTATTAGATATCAGCATATGCACTAATATGATTATTAGAAAACCTGTGTTGCAATGATCTCTGAGTTAGCAGTAGTATGGCTAAGGGTTTCTGTATAGGCCAGGCCTCTGAGGCCCCAAAAGGATCGGAATGTGCTAGTTATGCAAGATTAAAATGAAACAATTATGAAAAGAGGAACTGAAGCATAAAGAACATGCACCTGGTGGTGGGAGTGAGTTAAATGAATTAGGCAACTGGGGATGATTTATGATGACCTAGCTGGGAACTAATTATTTGGATGAAATATTAAGTTTCACCATGTACTTTGAAGTAGTAGCTTATAGCAAATGTTTTTGTTTGTCTGAGTGTATAAAAGATGTGCTCAAAATGAAGGGTTCAGGATTCTGGCTTTGGGACGTGGGCCCAAAATAAAGCACCGGCATGAACTAGCACTCTGCTGGTTTGTGCTTCTTATTGTGGCGGGCAACAGTCTTCTTGGCGACACCAGGTGGGACTCCGGCCGGTCGCCAGGGCCGCGCACGGGCGATCCGCTCCATGCTGGCAGCCAGGTGAATTTCCTGGGGAGTTATCGTTCTGTGCCCGACCCCTGCGCCCGTCGGACGACCATTCCAGGTAAGCCCGAAGGTGCTTTATTTTCTTAAGGGTTATAAGCCTGCCTTATAAGACGAGTTCGTGGATACTCGCTGGGTTGGGCTGAGAGAGGTATTTTTTTTTTGGGGAAGCCTAGGCACTGGTCGTAAGACGTGGCGAAAGCTGCGCTGAGCCAGTATTTGCCGTATACTGGATTTCGGCAAATTGGTTGTGGAAATAAGTTACGTAACTGTGGTATTTTATTGCTTGTGACATTTTATTTTTTGTGGTATCTGCTGTTTGTGTGAGTCTGTTGTGCTATTGTGGGTATGATGCCTTTTAAAACCTTTAGAGCATTGTCCTGTTCTGAAACTAATATTCCTGACGATTCTCCGCTTGGTCGCATTTTAAAGCATTGGAAGGAGGGGAATTTTGGGCAGGAACTAAGTAAAAAGCAACTGATTGACTATTGTAATAATGTATGGCCGCAGTACGATACTGAAGGGATGCAGTGGCCGAAAAACGGCACTATGACGCTAGAGATAATGTCTCCTTTACTGCAATACTTAAAAGACAATGATCTATGGGATGAAATACCATATTTAGATTTATTTTATTATCTGAGACGTAAACCTGAGTGACAGAATGACTGTGGTGTGCTGGTACTAAAAGCATCAAATGACGAATGTGTGGGATGCAAAGAACGAAAGACACGGCTTGTTGAACCGGAGGAAGATATTGCTTTGTTAGTCTCTCCGAGCCTTACCCCTACTGCGCCCCCATTAAGAGCAGCCCCCACACCTACTGCGCCCCCATCAAGAGCAACCCCCACTCCTACCGCACCCCCATTGAGAACAGCTCCCTCACGTAGGCGAGATTCGCCCCCACCTATGCCCCCATCGTCCTCAGATGAGGAGGAAAAGGAGCATACTGATAGGACTCCATTAGCAGGACGGACTCGTAGGGGAAGGAGGGAGCGGGGAAGGAGTCGGGAGCGGAGACATGGAGACGAGGGGAGGGCTGTGTCACCCTCGCCCCCGAAATTAATGGTCCCTCTGCGAGAGGCAGTGGGGGCAGGAGGAGCGCGTGTTATGGTGAAAGTGCCTTTCTCGCCGAGTGATTTATTAATTTGGAAGCAATCAGCAGGAGCGTATAGAGAAAATCCAGAGCGTGTGGCCCGTGTTGTAAAAATGGTTATAAAAACTCAGAACCCGGACTGGAATGATTTACAAGTTTTATTGGATACAATCCTAGACTCTACTGAAAAAGAGATGGTATTACGTGTAATGGTTGAGAGAGCCAGGGAAAAGATTCGCGCGCATCCTGGGCAGGGGACCGTGAATGATTTAGTGCCTAGAGAAGATCCTGAGTGGAATCCCAACGCCGCAGCCGACTACCATAGGTTAAAGGTTTACCAAGATTTATTGATAGAAGGAATTCGAAGCGAAATTCCAAAGACTTTAAACTGGTCGAAGCTGTACTCTGTGGGACAGGATAAGGCAGAGTCCCCCTCTGCCTTCTTAGAAAGATTAAAGGAGACAGCTCGAAAATATACAGATTTGGATGTAGAAGCTGAATCGGGGAAGTTACAGCAGGCTTTGATTTTCATGGGGCAGTCCCAGGAAGATATTAGAAAGAAACTGCAGAAATTAGAAGGGGAAGAGACGCGAAATTTAGAAAAATTGTTAGAAGTGGCTTGGAAAGTGTATAATAATCGTGAGAAGGAGCAGACAAAGAAACAACAAGCGAGCATGTTAGCAATTTTGCAGGCAACCGGAGGAAATTATGGCAGAGGGAATAGAGGCAGGGGTCGTGGAAACAAAGGCAGAGGAGCTGGCAGAGGTTTTAATAACCAGAGTGGATTTGGATTCCAGGGTGGACGTGGAAAGATAGGGTTAAATCAGTGTGCACTATGCAAGGGTCAGGGACATTGGAAGAATGAATGCCCCCTAAATGCGAGGGTAGGAATGAATTCATTTGCCGGGAACATCCAGGGTGCAGTTAATGGGACGTCACACGGTGTCGCTCACGCATTTATGTTGCAAAACTACAATAGCCAAAGCTGACTAGACCAGGACCTAAAGGTTGTCCTGGAAATAGAAGGAGAACCTATGGAATTTCGCGTAGATACTGGGGCTAGTTTTTCAGCAATGAATCGGTTAATGGGTCCTTTAAGTAATTCAACTGTCCGTGTTGTGGGTGTATCGGGACAGGCAGAGGAACGTGCATTCTTGAGGCCACTGGATATCAAATTTAGAGGGAAACAATTGGACCACCAATTTCTCTATATGCCTAATAGCCCAGAGTGCTTGTTAGGGAGAGACTTATTGTCCTTCTTACAGGCTACTATTGTGTTTGAAAATGGGAGGGTCAAGCTAGAAATCCCAGAAGAAAATGTAGCACAAATATTTACTGTAAAGGAAATAGAAACAGAAGGAATTCCTCAGGAAATAGAACATGCAGTTGTCCCTTGGGTGTGGGAGACCGGGGTCCCGGGCTTATCTAAAACAGTAGCTCCAGTAGTGATAGAACTTAAGGAAGGAGCACAACCAGTACGAATTAAACAATATCCAATTAGCTTAGAAGCGAGAAGGGGGGGTAGCACCTCTAATTGAACAATTTATAGTTCTTGGAATATTAAAGGAGTGTGAATCAGAATTTAATACACCAATCTTTCCAGTCAGGAAACCAAATGGGAAATACAGACTAGTACAAGATCTGAGAGCAGTCAATCTTTTAACCAAGGACATTCACCCGGTGGTTGCAAACCCATATACCTTGTTAACATCTGTTTCTGAGAAATTTCAGTGGTTTTCAGTAATAGATTTGAAAGATGCATTCTTCTGCATACCATTGGCACCGGAGAGCTGGCACCTATTCGCCTTTGAGTGGGAAAATCCCGACACGGGGAGGAAAAGACAGCTAACCTGGACGCGTCTACCACAGGGATATAAATGTTCACCTACAATATTTGGTAATCAGCTAGCAAAAGAACTTGAAGAGTGGAAGACATCACAGGTCAAAGACTCTCCTTTTTCCTACATCGTATTGCAATATGTAGATGACATCCTTCTGGGTACAGAAGGACGAGAGCTGTGCTACAAACTAACCATTGAACTGCTAAACATGTTAGGCCAGGCGAGATACCGAGTTTCAAAGGAAAAGGTCCAATTAGTTAAACAAAAAGTTATCTACCTGGGTTGCGAGATTTCCCAAGGAGTTCGGCGTTTAGGCACAAACAGAGTAAAAGCCATCTGTGCTATCCCGGTCCCACGGAATAATCAAGAATTGAGATCTTTTCTAGGAATGATCGGCTGGTGTCGACTATGGATTCCTGATTTTGGACTCCTTGCCAGACCACTGTACGAAGCAGTGAAAGAACCGCAACTGGTTTGGAGACCGGCACAGGAAAAGGCATTCCAGGACTTAAAGAAGGCTCTGCAGGAAGCACCTGCTTTGGGACTGCCTGACATAACAAAAGATTTCCAGCTGTATGTCTGCGAAAGACAACGGTTGGCCCTGGGAGTACTCACACAACGACTGGGATCCTGGAAGAGACCCGTTGGTTACTTTTCAAAGCAACTGGACACTGTAAGTGGGGGTTGGCCTGGGTGTCTCAGAGCAGTAGCTGCAACAGTGATATTGATCCAGGAAGCACGTAAACTGACTCTGGGAAGGCATATTACAGTTTACGTGCCACATATGGTCATAGCAGTCCTGGAACAGAAAGGAGGACATTGGCTCTCCTCCAGCAGAATGTTACAATACCAGGCCCTGCTTAGGGAACAGGATGACATTGAATTAAAAGTTACTAACCATCTCAATCTGGCCGAGTTTCTCAGGTCCGCCCAGGAAGAGGGAGTCCTGGAACATGACTGCATGGAGACGATCGAGCACGTCTATGCTAGTCGAAAGGACTTGAAGGATGAACCACTGGAAAACCCGGACTGGGAACTGTTCACAGATGGATCAAGCTTCGTGGAAAACGGTACCAGGTATGCAGGGTACGCGGTGGTAACCCTATAGGAAGTCGTGGAAGCAAAGGCATTACCCCCGGGAACATCAGCACAAAAAGCTGAAATATGGGCACTAGTAAGAGCCCTAGTCTTAAGTCAGGAAAAGAGAGTTAACATCTGGACTGACTCAAAGTATGCTTTTGGAGTAGTTCATGTACATGGGGCATTGTGGAAGGAGAGAGGGTTGCTTACTTCACAAGGGACAGCGATTAAACATCGGGAAGAAATTCTTCAGCTACTAGAGGCAATACACAAACCGTCAGCTGTAGCCATAATGCATGTGAAGGGACACCAAACCGGTTCAGAACCGGAGTCACAAGGAAACAGATTGGCAGACCAAGCAGCACGACGAGCAGCTACACAGGTATGGACTCAAATGGCTTTGTTACCAACTCGTGATAACCCAGCAGCAGTACACATGGAAGAAAAGCCCCATTACACACCAGAAGATGAAAAGTTGGCCCACATGATGGAAGCAAAGAAAAATGTAAAAGGATGGTATATTACCCCTACTGGACAGGTAATACTGCCAGTCAGAATAATGAAAACAGTGCTTGAAATCAAGCATGGTAAGTGCCACTGGGGTGCAGAAGCAATGGTTAAATTTTTGAGAAATAAAATTTTCTCAAATCAGATGTTAACACTGGCTAAAAGGGTGAATGCGACATGTCCAGCATGTATTAAAAACAATCCAATAGTGAGGAAACAGGTACAAATGGGAAAACTTCAAATTGGACAGCTTCCAGGAGACTACTGGCAGGTAGACTTTTCTGAATTGCCAAGGGCTCAAACATACAAATATTTGCTGGTGTATGTGTGTACCTTTTCAGGGTGGCCAGAAGCTTTCCCATGTAAAACTAACCAGGCTAAGGAAGTAGTAAAGACTCTTTTGAAAAAAATTATTCCGAGGTTTGGAGTACCATTAGGATTATCTTCAGACAGAGGACCACACTTTATTGCAGGAGTTGTACAGGATTTAGCCACAGTGTTAGGAATAGTATGGAATCTCCACACCCCGTGGAGGCCACAATCTAGTGGACAGGTGGAAAGGATGAATCAGACCCTGAAAAACCAATTAAAGAAAATTTGTCAAGAAGCGAAAATTCAGTGGCCCCAAGCTTTGCCTCTTGCTCTGTTGAGAATCAGGATTAAACCTAGGGAAAGAATTGGGGTAAGCCCATACGAAATTTTGTATGGAAAACCATATCACGCTGCAACGTATCAGGGTGACCCTCATGTAGTGGGAGACCAAGCCGTGTTTAACTATATCTTGTCTCTAAATAAGACTCTTTTAGCGCTTCGGGGAGCCTCACAGTGGAATCGACCTTTACCTCTAGAGAATCCAGTGCATGACATTTCTCCAGGAGATCAGGTCTACGTGAAGAATTGGTCGGTAGAACCACTGAAGGAAACATGGGACGGCCCCCGCCAGGTGTTGATGACAACCTATACAGCAGTCAAGGTCGAAGGCATCGACAACTGGATTCATTACACGAGGGTCAAGAAGGTCCCCGTGCAGTGGACTGCAGAATCCATCACGCCGACCAGAACGGTGTTCCGGGCGGTCCAATAAGACTCATAGTGCGAATAGTAATTCTGCTACTGTTAATAGGTACCACTGATGCAGGTGTTACAATTACTGTGTCTAATCCTTTTGTTTTAGTGCCTGAAGGAACAAGTGTAAATCTGACCTGTTTGTTTTCTGAAAACCGGGAAGCTGAATGGGATGACGTGCATGTTTGGTGGCGATGGATGGATCAGGACCATGATATAACCGAAGGTGTGACCACGGTATGGAACAGGACGCAGCAAAAGGGCTATACCGTCTTGCAGGTACCCACTGTGACTCCTGAGGTCGATGGTGTGTATTCTTGCATAGTGTGGGTTCAAATGAGTTTTGATTACGAGTATGCGAGAATACACACGTTTAATTCCACACATAATAGGGACTCAGGCATACAGATACCCCTTCATCTGCAAGTTGATACATGGCATGGCCCTCCTCTACGGATTAATTGCACGTTTAAATTGAGCTATCCATGCTATGAGAACCTTGATCTTAAATGGTGGAAAATAAACATGACAACGGGAATATGGGAAAGACAAACTGAGGGAATTGGTTGGTGGTCTGACGAGGAGAATGGAATAGGTTGGTTAAATATTTCAAATCCAGAAGTAGGAGAGACTGAAAGTACCTTTGTATGTGTTGTCTCTTGTGACGAGGAAGGGAATTATGGGATCAGGACAGTTAGAAGTGTGCCATATCAAGGCCAGGAAATTCAACCGGAACAGGAAAGTTATACCTTAGCAGAAGGAGGAAATGTTACCCTGAGTTGCAAAATTTGGAGACAGCTTTTCTCGGACTATGGTTGGTGGTTCAAAGGTTATAACTTACAAAATGATTCTAAATATCACATTGAGCAGGGGCCACAGAGTATTGCCTTAACAATTCAACAGACAAAAAGAGGGCAGGATGAAGGACAATACATTTGCTGGATAAGTAAAGATGACTGGTGGGGGACAGGAGTGACCTCTGTTTATGTAAAGACTGTGCGAATGACTCGACAGACCCATACATCACAGGTTCCACGAATCCCACACATTTCCTATACAGGAACCAAGCAAGAAAACTTAATAGTTGGACTAATTAGAGATTTTGGAATGGTTCAAAATGTCTCTAGAATTACTGCATGCCTTCCACTGCCACATGCAGCTGGGGATCCGATCCCATGGGGAATAATACCGGTTCCAGAACTCCCAAGACTATTTGTTAATACCACATGGAGTTGTAAGTTTTTAACTAAATCTCACCCAGTAACGATAGATGGTTGTCTTTATGGAAGTGTTAAAACCCGAGAACAATGTGAACAGTTGTCAGGATTCCTCAAGTGGATAGATGGAAGTATGCATGGCTTGTCGGGACAGTGTATAGTTTCCCCTTCTATTAGTAGCGTAGACACCTGTGTAAGGGTACAAGTCCAAATGGATGAGGGAACATCGGAACAAAAGTGTCAAAATAACACTACTCCTACTACTCTGGAAAAGTGGCAAACAATTTGGGGACCTAGTTTATTAGAAACCTACAGCTATTTAGGGAAAGTACAATGGTGTATTCATTGGGTAGGTTCCAAAAACCAAAATTACTCTTTTCTACACTCAAAACATAAACAATGGCGGCAAATACTCTCACCTACGGATTTATGGAATTGCACTCGAATTTACACATGTGACACTCCAAATGGTGACGTAGGTTTAATCCCAGTACGCATTTTGTTAAGATTGGGTTGTGAGTGCCGGGGATACAATCATTCCATAATTGGTTATAATAGCTCACGTAGTGTAGATTGTCTCACTACTACTGTGAGCAGCCCAGGAAATCTAGTTTGGGTAATGGGACATGGACAATGGACCACTCATATGCCTGTAGATGGCCCTGCGACACAGATCACCTTAGGAGTTCCTACCCTATGCCCTTATTGGAAAACAGAGGAATTGGTCACTACAGATATTCAACCCAGGCGAAAAAGGGCCTTAGAGCAAAACCCGGATGAGTGGCATGACCCATCATCTGGAGTTAAATTTGGATGGGCATTAGAGTCCTTGTTTGCACCAATTGCATCTTATCATAATAGAGAAATGCTGTTCAAATTAATGAGTCAAACAGAAAGATTGGCAGCGGCTACCAAGAAGGGATTTAAAGACATGAATATCCAATTACAAGCAACTACTCGCATGACTATACAAAACCGAATGGCATTAGATTTAATTCTATTAAAGGAACATGGAGTTTGTGGTTACCTGCATGCACGGAATGAACACTGCTGCATCCACAT